CAGAGTCTTTGTCAGATGGGAAATTAATTTCACCCGTGTTCCCTACCGTGTGTAAATCTTTTCCACTCAGCAATTATACGCCAAGAACAAAAGCCACCATTACAATTTCGAAGCAAAGTGCTTACGCTCTTCATGCCCTCAGTATTAGAGCCATTTCGTTTGCTCAACGAGTGTTGCACAAAGGTGTTCAAGCACTGGTTGTTTGTTGGAGTCTAATCTCTGCCATCTCTCCAACCACCATGGCAGCTAGTCCTTTACACACCTCTGTAGTCAATCACTTGTTTATCTGTGTGTTCACTTAAATTACCCAGTGAGTGCACCACACAACAGCTCAAACCCAGAAGAGCAGTGTGAGCCAGACGACAGACTTTGATCTAAAGCCCTGCACTCTGCACTGATAACACACCGGCTTTCCCTTTAATGTCCCCAGCACAGAGAGATGCACCAGGCCCCCTAGTAAAAGGAATGCCCCTGCTCGCTTGTAAAAGTAGGATCCCTGGAAGACAGAAAGAGAGAGAGCGAGTGGGGGATGGGTAGGAACGGCAACGAAGGGAAGGAGGAAAATCACACATCCAGGAATTAACTCCCTCTATCCATTGCCTGGATCAATCGCCTCTGCAATTCCCAATCCGCCCCCATCTCTCTTAAACTCATACCCAATTCCAATCATGGCCACAGTAAAGCTCTCTTGTAAAATACCACAATGCGACCTCAGACTTCAGTAAATTAGATGCCACTTGGACCCCTTTGCTTTGAAATACAGCACAGGTCTGCCTGGAGCAGCATTAAACCTGAGGTCAGCCCAGCCACTGCACACGAGAGATATTCCCCCTGCCATAACGGTGTGTTTGCGCGGAGGTATGTTTGCAAACCTCATTTAAAGGAGCCGAATGAGAGGCTCAAGCCTGCCAGTTTGGCATCGCTTTCGTGCATGTTTGTCAGCGGCTCTGTGCGCGCGGGTCCCTGGCGAGGGTGTACCCAGTATGCGTCACAACGCGCTGCTCGGGCCAGGCATGGCCACCGATCAGATGGATGATCAAACTCTAATCATTCCCTCACGGCCCATCCCGGGTAAAGCTGTCATTAATTTTGCGGAATTACATCAAATTGGAGACATTCTTTATGCGGCCCACGGCCTACAGACAGTTATACGATGGGGACTGCTGTGCTAAGCAGATGGGGCAGCTTGGCCGTGCATACTAAATACCGCTGCCCCCCTTCATGTTTCTCCCTTTCTCTTTGGCACACTAGTTCCCTCTCTCCATCCCTTTATCTCCGTCACTTACATACTTCCCTCACTCTTTGTCTTCTACCCTTCTGGGGTCTTTGATAACTTTAAGATTTTACTTCACGTCTTCTCCCTGCCCTTCTACAATTCAGCATTTCTTTGTTTCTCTCTCTTTCCATCAGGAAGGACTACATGTTCGGGTGTGGTGGGTGTTATAAAAGTTTACACTCCCCTTCCCATTTCTTGCTGAAGATGCCACCATGAAATAAGCAAAAATGCCCCGCCCCAGAAAACCCACTGTTAGCTCACCCATGTTGCAGCTAAATGCATGCTACTGCATGCCAACCGCAGTCACTGCACACTCATTCAAGATGCTATAATCTGTCACACAAGCAAGAATATGTAATGTCATATAGCCTGCCCGTATTCCTCCATACTACTTTAACGTGACTTTTTGGTTAATATGTTTTAATTTTGATTTGATTTTTTTTTTTACAGGAGAACATTAGAAAAGAAACATTAGACCAGAGGTCCTCAAATTGTTATTGGATCTTAAACTAATTTTTGAGAGAAAAAAATAAAACGCACTTCTGTTCAAAGGTTTGGGGTCAGTAAGATTTTTTTAAAATATTTTTGAAAGAAGCCTCACTACGGCTATATTTACTGAACAAAAATACAGTAAAAAAAAACTAACATTGTGTAGGCCCTACTATTCATGCAATGTAAAAAACTGTTGTCTATTTTAATATATTTTAAGATGCAAAGCTGAATTTTCAGCATCATTACTCCAGTCTTTAGTGGCATATGATCCTTCAGAAATCCTAATATATTGATTTGCTGCTCAAGAAACATTATTAATGTCAATGTGGAAAACAGTTGCTTAATATTCTTTGTGGAAATTCTTCAAAACAACAGCATTATTTGAAATAGGAATCTTTTGTAACAGTGTAAATGTCTGTACTGTCACTTTTGATCAACTTAATGCATCCTTGTTAAATAAAAGTTTTAATAATTATGCAAGTTTCTATTAAACATCAAATGCATCAAATTTAGTGCATTTCACAAATAATATATTAAAGTATTTTTTAATAAAAGTTAATTAAGGAGCTAAAATTAAACAAAAAATGTTTCATTTTCTCTCATTTCAAAATGTTTTAAGTAAAACTAAAAACATGCAAATTTATAACCTTCTACACCAGTAATGATTATTATAATGCATTTACAATGTAAGCATAATAAAGTTATGATAAAATCTATTCAGTGTTCTGAGCACAGCAAACATATTCATTGGCTTGCCAGCTGAGAGTAACTAGGCAAAACAAGGTAGATCCATGTTAATACAGATTACAAAGGTCAGATTCGTTGAAAAATTACCAGGAAAATTCAATAGTTGTCATCCTATTTGTTTTGCAGTATCTATAAAACAAGCAAGTGGTATCCCTTACCAGTTTAGTAATGAGATGATAAAATGACTGGCCAACATAAGTCTGGCCTGCATCAGATCTTCTCATTGATCTCCTCAAAAACACTTGACATGGAGCGCCTGGGAGGAGGAGCGAGGTTAGGAGTGTCATGGGCCTGAGGGAGACTCGTCATCAAGCAAGGTCGGTAAAACACTGTCTGTGTGACATTAATCACACGCCTCTGCCCTTCCCCCCTTCCTGCCTGCCTCTCACACAGCCTTCGACGCATTTCAGCCAAGCTCACTCTGTTAAAACAATCTCAGCACCTTTATTGGGCTGCCTCATTTACTGCCTGCATGCAATTACAGGCTCAGGGTGGCCATCTTGTTTGCAGTGGCCTCGGCTGCCTTCCTTGCAGTGCGAACTGGTTCTGATGCCTTAAAACACAAAAAATAAGGTGGTATTTTGATCAGTGGTTAAATTAATTTAATCGTTTTGAGGCTGATTTAGAGAACTCAAATGTGCAGGCAGGCAGTGCAATGGACAGCACTGTAAGATCTTAAAACAGTGAAAGGTTCACTTAAGCCCCAAATCCTTCACATCAAAGGCATATGAGTGTTAAATCGGCACTTCATTTAGAATGTATATATCACTTTGACCTCTGACCTCCTAATAGCACCATGAGACCTGAGTGTTGTATGTGCCAACTTCCTCAAGAAAGTTCTTCTCCAATATAATCATTCATCCATTTAAGCATGCCACAAATATGAGAGATAACATGCCTGGCTGATCCAAGCTATTAATCCAGCTTTATGCAAAAATAAAGTGGAATTTTACTTCTAAATTGTAAAGAAGACACTGATACACATCTGAAAGATATAGTGATGTGTGACAACGCTATTTTAAAAATTATGGGCATTCATTTTGAATTGTTATAGTGTAAATAAAGAAATATATTAATTTGTTGGATTAAGCCTAATCATGTTTTCATTCTAATAAAAAGGAAGATTATATTTTAAGAAATAATAATATATTTAAAGATAACCATTTACACCATAACTCTTCCCTCTTAATAGTGCGTTTCCTAAAAGTATACTGCCATCTGGTGTTCATAACGAGAACATCAGACAACTAATATTTTGGAAAAAGAAATGTCTCATCAGCTCGAATATCTCTTTCCATTAACGGTTTATTAAATGTATGCTAAATCCTTGGTTTTTACACGGATTGAGCTGACAGTTAGAACAGCCTATTTTAAGTGAATCTAAGTGTGAGAGACAAATATTTGTAGGAATTATTGAAACACGATAGGCATTTAGCATCTGCTTTTCAGCTTCACAGGCAAGCATTCTAGTTTCAAGTTTCTGTGAGTCAGCAAGAAATGTAAAGTGCTGTTTACTCAAGCTGAATGTGTGTCTGCCTACTGAGACTCAGAGCAGAATAACACTGAAAAGATGTCGTTTAAAGACATTAGGTTATTGCAGACATCAGTCAAGCATGGGGAGAGACAATGTAAACCATATATGTCTGACTCAGGTGCTTTATATTATGTATGCGAATATTACTATATTATATAAAATTTCTCTTGCAAACCTGAAACATTCGAATCCTTTTTTTTGAATAGGATCTTTTTTCAAGAATCTTTTGAAACCGTTTACAACAGAACGACCGAATCGTTCTAAACGAACTGAATCGGGTCGAGCGGTTCTCGAGTCAACTAAACAAGAGACATTTCCGGTTCGTAACAAATCCACGAGTGAGCTGATAGTTTGAGCATTTTAAAGGCTGTTTTAAGGCTACTTCAAGTTTAAGGGGCTAATTAGAAATCAATCAATTAATCAATAAAACATAGAAATACAAATAGAACATTCTGCAAAAGTTTACTCCATGCATGGCATTTGTATGAACACACATTCAATACAATACATTCAATTGCATTTTACTACTATAAATAGCATTTTTAGTCGAGACGTATTTGAATGAATCATTGCATTGTTTTAGAATGTTCGAAAGAACCGATTCGCGGAAATGAGTCAGACCTCCCATCACTAGTTCATTTCGCAATCGCGTTGCTTTTCTCCATGCGTTCCTGACGTACACCCATCACATTGGTCAGCAGTTGATTGACACATTTATTTAACCAATAGAAACCAAGTCGATGAATCCGATGAGAAATGTGAACCAATCAAAGCTCTAATAGCTGTACCGTTACCATGACGTCTGACTTTTCACGTCGATCTTCAAAGCATCGTCATTACAGATGGGGATTTTAGTTTTTTTCAGTATCTGAGCCATGATTCAGAACCAGTAATGGAACCTCATTTCCCATAATGCACCGAGACCTCCAGAGCACCCATGCGTCTGTTTTTGTTATTGTTGTGAGGTTCGTGGTACAGTTCATCTCGGCGAATGTGTCACTGTAAATTGAACTTGTCATCAGTCTCATACATGTTTTCTCCTTTATCACCGAACATCGTTTTCCAAGAAGACATTGTTCTGATTATCTAAGCTAAATCGGGTGAGTTTTGTTATACGACGGTTGCGGTTTTTTCCACAAAGGGAAAAAAAGGGAGAGAGAAAAAAAATGCAGCATGTTCAGTAGCACGCAGCTACTGTAAAGACAAAAGCATGCCATGTTTATAACATCCCATCTCATTTGAGGCAGTCCCAGGGAATGTGTATTGACTATTACAGTGTTATAATGTTGTCATGTACTTTTTTTTTATTACTGTAACAAAATGTCATATCTGCTTATGCATTGTTTTTCTTGTTTGTTGCCACACTGTACCGAGTAACTTGAGATTGTTTCTAACTTAGGGCCTCGCTTGCAATAGCCATCCACGATTGTTGGCAATGCAAAAGTATTAGTTTTATTTCGTACGTCAGTAAAACAGATAAACATTTGAGTAAACTATTGTAGCAATTATTGAACTATTGTAAGCATTATTTTTTATGATGCCACAGCAATCTGGTGTTACGTGTCAAGTAATATTTAAGTACATTATATTAGTGTGCATCTGTTGTTTTTCAGTTTTAGTTTTTACTCAATTCACCCAATTATTTTATTTTAGATGAGTCATATCACGAGGAATCAAATTATCCATAATCTTGTAAAATAAAATAAAATAAAAGATGATTTGATTCCTCATATCACGAGGAATCAAATTATCCTTAATCTGGTCAAATAAAAGCATTGAAGCTGCAAGTTTCTGACATCAGACAGATGACGTCCGGAAACGTCCTTGGCCTGTTCATGGAGAGTCTAAATATGGAGTGTGTAGTTTATTATGTGGTGCTAATGATGAACCCACCTGTCATTGCTTGTAATCCATACAAAGTCAGTCACAGCATTTGTGGCACCCGACAGCCTGTCACAAATGCTCTCTAAGAGCTGATGTGTGTCCGACTAAAGAAAGTTTGCACTTTCACATCAGTCATCTGCAGGAACTCGGCATCTAGTTTAATATAAACAGTTCCTCTTCACTTGCACAACGCATTTACCTCACCCCTACTGTGCTCAATAAGTCTTGATAATAATGTCCATACAACTTCGTGTGGACTAATTAAAGCCTGTTTACAATTACTGTATATTGTATATTTGTGAATGTGGATATAGACAAATGGGGAATACATATAGATAAAGATAGATAAGTACACACATACAATCTTAGAAATAAAGGTTCCAAAAGGGTGAACCATGTTTTTTTTTTTCTGTGTGAAGAATATTGTAATCTAAAAAAATATTTTTCCACTATAAAGGAACTTTTGAGGAATGTAGAGGTTCCATGGATGAAGTAATGAAATGTTCTTTACAGATCCAAAGATGTAAAAAAAAAAAGAACTTAGATAAAATATGTGGCTATAGCATATTCAAGTTGTATTTATTTATTTAAAAAAAGAGAGATTATTGCTTTATATTAATATATTACTTATATAGCCAACTTCTACAATGGTATAAATGGCATGACTATTAACTTTTTCTTAACATCAGGATTTTGTGTTAGATTTTTATATTTTGTATGCATTGTTTTTCTTTTAATTTTTAAACCATTATTTCAACTTTGTTGCAGTTCGATGGTAATTACAGTTTTTTTTGGGAAATACCAATATTTCACATAATTTCTCAAATAAGAAATTAAAACGCCATAAAACTACACGTATAAATAATTAAAGAATGAGAAAAATGTTTTCTGAAGTAGTTTTAGATGGCATGCCAATTATCATTTTAATATTTACCCAGGTGCATCACTATTCTGTTGCCATGGAGAAGACATGGGGGATGGAGTTTCGCAATGTTGGAAGTTGCTACTTTCCTCAGAGCAGAGTGGACTGCCACTACACCATCAACCCACAGCACACATGGGCCAGTAATGACTGGATTGGACTATTTAAGGTAAGAGACAGCCATCTCCAGGTTCTTCAGCATTGATGTAGCTCTTTTGCTTAATTGAATTTGTTCTGTTTCCTTTTACCCTCAGGTTGGCTGGTCATCAGTCAAGGACTACCATACATTTGTTTGGGCAGTTGCTCCATCCAGCTACAAAGAGGGGACCTCTGTCAACTGCTGTGTTAATTTCCAAGGTCTCTGAAGCACTGATTTGAGTGTTCAAGCCCTCTTGAAAGTCAGCTGATAGTCTCAATACAGTATGACTAAAGAATAGATTGGTTTAGGGACATTAAATGAGCTAATTACAGTTTCTTGCATTGATTCACCCAACTGCTGGTCTCATTCACTGAGGTGCATTCAGTACATTAGCAAATGTTCCTCCTCAAATGGCCTGTGAAGTAGATAAAATGCCACAAAGGAATTCTCCTGTAGTTAGTTATTAGTAGGGATGGGCAGGATGCTCCCAAATTACCCTAGATTGTCTTGCTTCTCTACACATTTTTGTGTAGAGTTGACGATGCTTTAAAAATAATGATTTTAGAGAAACAATTTATTTGAAAAGGTTTTCTCTTGCTGTGCTATAGCGTGCAGTTCTGTCAACACGGTAAAACCCCACAACAGCCATTACATTTTTGTGTGCGAACATATCAAATTTTTTCAATATTCAAGGCGTCCCTATAGCCAGAGACAACTCAGTGACTAGCTGATTTTTGAAAAGCACATCTGTAGTAATTAGTTTACAGTGTGGACTCTATATCCTTCTTTTAAAGTAGCATTCATTACTGTTCAAAAGTTTGGGGTCAGTAACTTTTTGTTGTTGCTCGTTTGTTTTTGATAAAAGTCTCTCATACTCACCAAGCCTGCATTTACTTGATCAAAAATGCAGTAATACTGTGATACATTTTTAAAATGTAATTTATTCCTGCAATGACAAAGTTGAATTTTCAGCATCATTACTCCAGTCTTCAGTGTCACATGATGCTTCAAACTCATTCTAATACACTGACTTACTGCTCAAGAAACATTTCTGATCATTATCAATTGTGCTTATTAATATTTTTGTAGAAACAATGTTTTATTTAATGATACGTTTTTTTATTATTATTTGATGAATAGAAAGTTAAAAAAATAACAGCCATTTATTTGAAATCAAAATCATAACATTATAAATGTCTTTATGGTCACTTTTCATCAATTCAATGCATTCTTGCTGAATTAAAGTATTAATGTCTTTCAAAAGAAAAATGTAAAATCTTTAAAAAATTTGCATAGTGCAGAATGGCAGCATTGTAATTTGTGGTGAGTAATGGCGATGTAGACAGAGTGCATTTATGACCTCAGAGAGAACATGAGGTCATCAGCAGTGCCCCAGGCTTCATGTGGTTGTCTATAAAATCTCCAAACTTCACTCACTATGAATAACCAGACAGGAAATATTCAAATATGCTTATAGTTTTGTTGGCCTTTCATAGCTTCCCTCTTCTCTCCCCTCTTCAGCTTCTTACCTACCAGGGCCTAGTGCCCAGCAGTACCAGTTTGTCTATGTGGATGGAAGGGGAGAGGTTTGTTCTCGCAGCACTGCCTTTATCTTCTCAGCCCCAAAGCCCTTTGAGGAGCTGGTGACTCTGGAGGAGGAGGGCCAGGGGGAGGAAGTGGGCGAGGACATGTTGCTGGTCATCCCAAGAGCCCAGCTTCTGCAGGTCAGAGGCTCTCAAAGAAAATGCTAAGACTCTAATTCAGTCCATCATTTCACACAAATGAGACACAATAAGACAATGCTGGATCCAGTTGCCTAGGGTGGCAGCATTACCTGCAGATGCATAAGCTGCTGCTTCCACGCACATCTATCTTAGGAATACACTGTTTGATTGATTAGTTAACAAATTATTTGTGACTTAGCAGGTTACTTTTTCAGAAAGATAAGCAAACTTTCCAAAAAGTGTCTTTACCCATTAAAAGCCAAAAACAGCTGGGAAATAGTAGTACTGTACAAATCATATCACAAATAAAATGTTCTACAATTTGAATTCATTAAACAATATATATATATATATATATATATATATATATATTTGATATACTTATGTTTATTATATAATTGTTCATACTTCATGATTTTTTTGTAATTAAATAACGCACCATTTCACTGTATTTTTTAACTTTAAATGTTTCATACTTTTTTCCTAGCAAGTTTGAAATGTTTACAGTAATACAATAAAAGTTACACTGTTGTTTGGGCAAGAAAGGGTAAAAATGCAATAGAGAGATGTCCCAGTGTGTAGACACTTTTATCCACAGAAGGCTATAGACCTCAGACAGACAGTCTCCATTTAACATTGCCACAATGTGTGGGTTTGTTGTGTGGTTTAAAAAATCACATGAACAGTTTTAGACGCCAAATAGTCTGTGTTCAGCTTTCCAACCAAGTCAATAATGCTGTTTTTTTTTGTTTTTTTTACTGATATAGCAATGTTGCTGTCTTATATCTCTTACAGTTTTTATTTGATTGACTGCAGAGGTAGTCTTTTTTAACTATTTGTGAGAAAAAAAGACATTTAAGATAATTATTTATATATAATCACACTAAACTTTATTATTAATTGTAAGATAAGATCATGTATTTAAAGGTGCAGCAGGAGATCTTGAAAAATGCTAACTTTAGCCTGATAGCACTGAAAGCGAACGTCCCACCCTCCCTGCAATCGCTGTCCAAAGCCATGCCCCCTGAACGCATATATGCTCACAGACCAGAACACCAGAGACAACATTACTACAATAGGCTACACCAGCTGCTCCCAATTCCAGCCCATGTTCCGAAGTGAAGTAAACTTCAACGAATTTCCCCTGCTCGGGGAGTAGGGGGCAATGAACACTGTGTTATCATATCGATCGGAAAACAGTTCATGCACGTAGCTCTCTTCTAACGAGCTGGTTATCTGAATCGGGTGTGTTAACTAAGCCAGACATGCAAAATACATGAGCGAGGACTGGAATTGGGAACCGCTGGGCTACATCATGTGTCATTCACCGGTGAGAAAACTTTAAAAGTACTACAATACCAGGAAGGACGATTGGTTGATGTTTGTCTGCCATTCTCGCTCTGTCTGCACAGTGTGCGTGAACGCGCTGATGACGTATCCTGTCTGCGCGAACAGGGTGCGCAGAGGTATGCTAATACATACGTTGACAGGCAGGTAGGAAAGCCAATTAAAACGCTCGGACCGAGCATTTTGATTGGACGAACATTTCTTGGTCCTACGCCTTCCACAGAATATATAAATACAGATAAATACATTTAGACCACTTAACTTAATGACTGCTACCGGGATGTGAAGAGACTTTCAACCAGCATAACAAAAAATGTTTCTGAAGACAATCACCTATTGCACCTATTGAATTACTTGATCTGCCACAATAATGTTTTCACAGCAAATATTGATATTAGGGATGTCAATTTTCAATTATTCCCATGATCAATTGTCGTTTAAATGAACAATAAACCGATTAACCATTAACCTTAATATTGAAAAATGCATCTACTGTCACCGGCATGACAGGATGTGCAAATGCCACTCAAAACGCTAGTTTCCTCACCCGAATGAAAGGGGTTTTTAAGCCCTATTCGGACGGGACTAGTTTTCTAAACTACGTTTGAGTTTCGATTCTTATCACCTGACGTCTGCAATTTTCATGTACCATTTCAGAGGGGACTAACATCTCCGTGTTTATTACAGAGGTGGGAGGGTCTGTTATGTACATCAGCGTCGCAGAGATCACGCGCTCATACGTGCATTGCATATAGTCATTTAGATTGATAGTATAACCAAAGTTTTACTACAAATACCATGGTGAAGCTATATGGCTAGTATAGCAAAAGCATGGTTAATGTGTGGTTACTTTAGTTTAACCATGTTTAATTTTCATAAAGGTACGTACCGTATTGTCCCGAATATAAGACGATGTTTTTTTCTTGGAAATACATCTGAAAAAACGCGGTCGTCTTATATTCAGGGTCTAGACTTTGACATGTCAATAATACAACCACAACAATAGGTGGCGCCAAATACGCATAAAACGAGTGTGCCATGAAATACGTAATGTAATGCGTGTTGTAAAGACCGCAAGTAAAAACAAAAGAAAAAGAAAACCTTACAGCTGCATGAGCCGTGACTGTCACGTTAGCCTGGTGGCACCAAACTCCCTTTGTGATTTTAAAACGTAAGACAGTACCCAGATTTGAAGACTACAGTAAGATTGAACTTCTACTGTTAATAAGATTTTGGCAGGCTACTATTAGATGGATAGCCTAAATGTCCTAATTCAGATGGGCTACCAGTTTTTTTTATTTTTTTTTATGGTATATCAAAAAGTGTATATTTTTTAAATGTGATTGTTGGTACATTTTACCAGTTTTTACCATACTTTCAAAACAAAAATAAAAATAGGAAAAATATGCAATATGAAAATAATTGAAGACAAAATGTGTTTTACTGAGAAAAAACAAGATTTGGTTTTTAAAAAGCCTTTTTCCAAAAAGTACATCTGGAAAAAGGGGGGTCGTCTTATAATCAGGGTCGCCTTATATTCGGGCCAATACGGTAATTAAAACATTATGTAATTGAGTGCAGAAATGTAGGTGAGTAACATTAATCTTACGCTGACGCTGATATTACAGTAGCCAGTCTTAACAGTTTACGTAATCTGGCTCTTGTTTTTATTGTTATTTTTTTATTTCTTTGCCGGGAGGCAAACATATCAAAAATGCGCGCGCCACGCGATAAAAGCGTTTACGGTAATTCACGTTGGCCAAAACACACAAGGAAAAAATATCGTCGGCAATCACAGACATTCTCATTCGGACGGGATTAGTTTTCTCAGAGGATCACTGAGTTTGCCGAAAAACAGTAGGTAATTTACTCTGGAATTATTACAGCGGTCGTGTGAAAAAAACACAGACATGGCAGATTCGGACGGGATTAAAATGGCAAAGTACGTCTGTGAAACTCAAATTTCTCTAACGACCCCCTGTAAAACTAGTCCCGTCCGAATAGGGCTTTAGTCTAAATTAAAGGCTAGTAGCAGGATTGTAAAATGAAGATTTCGTGGGCATAAATTAAGAATGAGTTCCTACAACTTATTAATTGGTTACCTAATTTTAGTTAAATCATGGGTTATCTAGGGAACATCATCATGGTCTGTGGCCACAAATTAATAAGTCATAGGAACAAATGAACAAGTTGTAGGAATGAATTTTCTAGTGAGCGATGCCTCATGGTACCATCACAGAGAGGCACAAAACCACTTTCCAGAACATTTTCGTTTACTGTTCCTGGCTGGTGGAATGATCTTCCAACCCCTATCCGGAATGCTGATTCCCTGACAATTTTCAAGTGACAGCTGAAAACTCACCTCTTTCGTCACTATCTGACTTCACTTCATCCTAATAAAAAAAAAAAAAGATCTTTTCTTTAATCTTTCCCTGTCTAGCTTGTACTTATTTGAACAATGCTTGAAACTTGGTATTACGAGCACTTCATGTGTCTATTTGCCACAATAAGATGAATCGCTTGATGTATTCCCCAATTGTAAGTCGCTAAATGAAAAGCATCTGCTAAATGAATAAATGTAAATGTGAATTTTCTTATATATATATATATATATATGCACAGTCATGTGAAAAATGCCTTTGATTAATCTTTCTCTGTCGTTTTCCTTAACAGAGTCGTCTCCAGGATTGTTTGAAGGAGCGTGCTGATCTGCTCCAGGCTCTGGAAGCAGCAGACCAGAACGTGGAGAGGGAGAAAGGCAGGAGAGAGAGAGACAGAGGCTCCTGGGAGCAGAGCCGCAAGGAGCTGGAAAGGAAGATCAGCGAGCTGAAGGAGGAAGTGAGAGAATATAGGGAGAAAGTAGAGGAGATGAAGAAGAAGCAGAAGGTAGTGTAAACACTCATTCCATCAGCCTGTGTGGTCAGCCCCGGGTCACAGTTGTGTGTATATTTTGCCTTTACTGTGTTTACTGTGGTGTATATGTTCACACACACTGACAGAAAGCTAACTGCTAAACGATTTTTAGTGTTACGCTTTAGTGCAAACACCTCACCATCACACCTCTCTCTTTTAGGAAGTTGAGGATTTAGGTGAGGCCCTGACAGAGGAGAAGAGAGCCCTGCTGAATCAAAAAGAAGCTAATGAGCAGCGAATCAGAGAGCTAGAGGAGGACATTAAAGTACTGACCCAGAGAGGCCTGGAGAGAGAGACTGACCTAGAAAGGAGAGAAGCTTTGTGTCTCTTAGGCCCTGCTTACACTTGGTATTAAGATGCGTTTTGGTCGATCGGATCACAAGTGGACAATGAAGACACATACCCGTTTACACCTGGCGTTTTAATCCGTCTCTTCTGTCCACTTTCGACCACTTCTGACCAGATTACCCCCCGTGGTGCTGATTAAGTCAAGAGGATGGGTGGATCCCTCTGTCGGCGTCAAAACACGAGCAGGAGGGCTAAAGTTATCGCGCACTAATATTACGTCTGCTTGTACCAGGGTTCCCACACCTTGGTTAACTTTAAATTCAAGGACCTTTCAAGAACTTTCCAGGTCCAATACCCTCAAATTCAAGGACTTAATCAGGGTGTCTACAGATATGAACAAGTTAGATTTAAGACTTTTTAAGACCTTTTTAATACCACCTATATGAAATTTAAGACCAAACCTCTGATGGAAATCACACATTATTTTACATACGTATAATGTAATATTTAATTTGTTAAATGTAAAAAAAAAATATATATATATATATATATAGTGGCTTATAAAAGGATCCCCATTGGTCTGAATGAGCTATATGCTTTTGATTATTGTTAGTGTGATCTACAGGACTGATTTCATTAATTTATTCCACCTGACTAAATATATGCAGTAAGCTGTGTACTGCTACTGCTTGGGTCCGATGCAATGCCTTTGCCTTTCTCTCCTACTCCCTCTCTCCGTCTTTTTCTTTCTCGAGTAAGGGCTTGTGTGGATTCTGGATGTGGCGGTGAGGTGAAGGAAGTGATTATTTATGGCAGACTCAACTTGTCAGAATGTGTTATAGCTGGATTTAAACTATATCACCACTTTGTATCATCACTTTGAGAGGGGACGCCCTCCCTGCCTTACCATGCCCATCCCAGGCTTCAACTAATCCAAAGAGAGTATAAATAACCGCTGTCAACCATCGGGATGATTCATAATAAAAATAAATAATCTTAAAATTCTTGGACTGGTTTTGTTTAACTTGGATTGGCAAGTGATGCTAGGAAACAGGCTCAGGTTTGAAGGCCCAATCTTAAACATGACAACCATGAACTGCATGTCCTACATTGGGTCTATCTATCTAGCTTTCTGCCATTTCTATTTAGCCTCGAGTAAAGTGATGACAGGGAATGCTAGGGAAAGAGGAGGAATAAGATCAGGAAATGTTGCAGGCCAGATCTCAACATGCACTATCAGCACCACACTTCAATGTGTCAGAGCATGGGCACTAACTTCCAGCTTCCAGTGATCTTTGATCCCTTTTTCAATGTAGAGAGGGAAATAGTCACAGTAAAAACAGAGGCCTTACAAACACATTTTTTTACATTACATTATTTACACTTGGTATTAAGATTCTTTTTGGTCGATCAGATCAGAAGTGGACAATGGAGACACATACCCATTTACACCTGGCATTTTAATCCGACTCTTCTGTCCACTTTCGACCACTTCTGACCAGATTACCCCCCGTGGTGCTGATTAAGTCAAGAGGATGGGTGGATCCCTCTGTCGGCGTCAAAACACGAGCAGGAGGGCTAAAGTTATCGCGCACTAATATTACGTCTGCTTGTACCAGGGTTCCCACACCTTGGTTAACTTTAAATTCAAGGACCTTTCAAGAACTTTCCAGGTCCAATACCCTCAAATTCAAGGACTTAATCAGGGTGTCTACAGATATGAACAAGTTAGATTTAAGACTTTTTAAGACCTTTTTAATACCACCTATATGAAATTTAAGACCAAACCTCTGATGGAAATCACACATTATTTTACATACGTATAATGTAATATTTAATTTGTTAAATGTAAAAAAAAAATATATATATATATATATATA